CCTTGGGCTTTCTGGGATTTCCAGTCCTTAGAGACCACTCTGTATACATATTTATACTTATCGATGATAATCTGGTCCAGAAGAAATCCTGGTCAAATCAACTTCCCTTGGATACACTTCCTACAGAAAAGAAGCAATGCAAAGCTGTCCAGTCTATTAAATCCTAAAACATACGCATAAGAATTTGTTTTAAACTGGTAGTACCCAGACCCTTCAATGTTCATGGCTACCCAAATGAGTATTTAATAGTACTGGCATGTGTTTTAGACACTCTTCTTGCCCATGGCTCCCAAGTCCGTGTGTTTGGGCTGAACTTGATTTTAACTTGAACAGCTGACTTCTGTTCATTTTTAACTGGCATATAAGGAAACTGTAGTTCAGAGAGGTGATGTCCTCCAGCAGGCTCCCATGTCAGAGCTCAGAACAGACCTCCTGACTCAGAACTGAGTCATTTCAAGTGAGACCAATTACTTCAGTATAAAAGCAATTAAATGTTAAGTGCTGGAGCTGGTTGGTTGGAATGAGCCCTAGAGGAAGAAAGGAAATGGGAGGAGTGTCCTTTCCACTGAACTGCCACAGCACAGCTCTGCTTCTCCTGCTGCCACGGCCTCAGCAGGGGCCTCCCACCCTGGCACAGGCACAGCTTCTCCATCTGTACGCTGTGTAGCCAGAGTGACGTGGTCTGACCATTGGCAATGGACTTTAACCTAGCAGTTCATAAAAAACATTCGACATGGCTTGCAGGAATATGGACATAAGTACAAAGGTTATAATTTAAAAAAAAAAAAAAGTGAATCTGTTTATGTAAATACACAGAAATAAAAGACTTGGACAGTCAAGGTTCCTCTCTAGTTCTTCATTAGTTATAACTATTGCTGAGTTTGCCACAGCCATGGTAACTTTGAGGCACATTACTGCTTTGAATGATTAGCCACTGCTTGTGACACACACCTCGTCCTTCTTAGTTACTGTTAAATTAAAACTAATTTCTGACTGGGATGAAGAACAAAGCCATCTAAAACAATAAGGTAGGAGTACCTGTTTTTTCCTGGGATTTCTCTGAATTTTTTCCACTTTGGGGTTTGTTTGTTGTGATGTGTTAATTTTTTCCCCTTTCTAGCTCACCGCTGAGCATCCCTGCGGTAAAATGATGGTGTCTTGTGACCAAGCACAGCTTATGGCAAATTTGGTCAAACTCATTAAAGCCAAGAAAGTTATTGAAATAGGTAAGAGTGTCACTTTGTCCTCTCTGTAGTAGAATAAAGCTCCTGGCCGTGCTTCTCCAAATACAGCTATGTTTACCGAAGATAAGCTATCTAAACGTACTAAGGCACTGCATACCTGTCTTGGCAAATAGGTGGGCAAACTACAGTGTGAAAAGTAGCATCTGATTTGCACTTACTTGCCACTTTGTCTGTCTGTGCACTCAGTAGTTCTGGCATTAGCGTGGATGTCTCATCAACTCGGAGGCAGTCTGAAAAAATAAGATAAACAGATCACTTGGGTCTCCAGTGTCACACGGCAATTGCAGGGCAGGGTGTATCCTTTCCTTCCTGTATCAGTTTCTTGCCAGAACGAAATGTTGTGCTGCACAGGCCCTGCATGCAATACACTTTCCTTGATGCACCTATGTTAGAAGGATGTCCCAAAGCCAGACTGATGCTGAGAAGTCAGGGATGGGTTTCTACCATCTTCATTCTTGGCCTGGCTGTTGCGATGCCCTTGTTATGACACATTTTGCTGCTGGTCCCATCCCTTTGGCTCAGGATTTAGTTCCACTTTTAAATAAGGGTGTCCCTCAGAGATGCAGGACCAAACTCTGCCCTGCACACCCAGAAGACTTTCAGAAAAAGCCACATGAAGCTTTGCTAAAAAGTGATTGAAATTTAAAAAAAAAAAAAAAAAAAAGTAAAATTCATCCCAACCCACCATTACATTAAAATGGAGGGAAAAACTTTTGTGGCCATTACCAAATTGCCATCCTTGACTCCTTTGGGGATTTTATTCCTAAAGGGAGTCCTACAGTTCACTATTTATCTTTTTCTTTTTTTTTTTTTCACTATATAGTGTTAATGACTCTTATAATTTTCCTAGGTGTTTTCACAGGTTACAATACCTTGAATATGGCACTTGCCTTGCCAGATAATGGCAGAGTTGTTGCCTGTGATATAAATGAGGACTATGTCAAAATTGGAAAGCCACTGTGGAAAGAGGTAAGTAGCATCTCTTAACATCTGTGATATGTTTGGGACAGCTGCATTTGTATGTCGAGGGATTTTGGTATCTTAGTTAGATTTGAACATTCATACGGAAGCATTCTTACCATTAAAGGAGGCTGAGAGTTCAATTTGGAAAGACAAATAAGTGCTGTCTAGAACCTAGAAATAACAGGAAAAAATATCTGAACACCAGTCACTCCCCTGAGTGCAATCTACTAGCAGGTTATTTCTAGACCACTTTCATAAATTCTTTGTTCTTTTTCATTGTAGGCAGGAGTAGAGTATAAAATTGACCTGCGGATTAAGCCAGCAACTCAAACACTTGGTAAGTGACCTAAAATATTTTTTCCCCTTCCCCAGAAAGAGAAGATGGATATAATGCTGATGAAATGTAAGACCAAATGTGCTTGTAGATGCGGTCTCTTTGCTAACAGTGGGACAGCTTATCTTATATTTTAAAAAATAAAATAAAATAAAATAAAAACCACAACAAAAAATCGGAAAACTTCACAGCTTTGTAAGTTCACAGTTTTCCTGCATGCTGGCAGAGAGGAAGAAAACGCTTGTCCTTTGTGGTGGGCTGCACTGGTCACTCACCTGTCCTGTCCACTGCCTTGTTTAATCTATGAATTACTATTGTCAGCTGCTTCTGGGAAAGCTGATTAAAACAGATTAATTAACAAAGCCAAATTTCTCTTATCCATTGCCCATTCTAAACAAGTATTTCTTTGTTACAGACAGGCAAAGTTTTCTGAAAGGGCTGAAGTGCAAAGAAAAATACAGAAGCCAGTATAAAACTTAAGGTATAACAGTTGAACTGTGTGCAGAGAAATTCAAATTTAGGATGTGTCAAAAGCACGCAAGGCCATTAGAAAGGCAATGACTTTTCTCATCCAAGAAAAGAGATGTTGAGCAGAGAAGGTATTAATAAATATTCTGAAAATGCAAGAAACTGTCTAGGAATGGAGGAGGCAGGAGGTTTCCAGTTAAGGTATTTGATGGATGCACAGATCCATCTATCACCTTGTATTACTTCCAAATTCATCCATCCTTTCCAAGGAGGCAAAGAGTAGCAGTCTGCTAGGATGCACTGTCCTTGAAGTCTGATGGACAGCTTTGTTTATGCCATGCTTCAGACAAAAAGATCCTCTGTTGACAGAGGATAAGGGTAGGCGAGAGAGGTGGCCAAGCACCTTAGGAAGGCAGCAGTCAGCCCTTCGACAACTGGTGATTTGGAGTTCTCAGTCAAGAAGTTAATTTAAGAAAACTCAAATCTGAATTCCACTTGCCTTGGCCCAGAGAGGGAGTACTTACAGCAGTCTTTTTCTGTGATAAAGATCTCTGACAGGATTTGTTCATGACTTGTATCATGGTACTTGATCACCAGCGAGAGATTAGCATTCAGGACCTGTTCATAAATGTGAGAAAAATCCTAATCCATATAAGAAAACAGTTCTTCTCAGTGAGCTCAAAAAATAGCTGAAGGTGTAGAGTGTGTCCAGTTTCAAACTGTGACTTGTTTTTACTGCACCTTTCAGCAGTCCCAGCTGTAGCCTGCAGGTTTAGAACTACTCCATGAACTTCCAACAGAACTCACTAACTGAGTGTTTTACGGCGTACATCGTGTCTAGATTGGTTTCTGTGGGATAAGCTTTTCTAGTAATTAGCTGTAAAGGAATAGGCTGCCTGGTCAATGCACCAAAACCATGATTTAATGAGAAATTTGACACAAATGGACAACTTCCTCCTACACAGCATTACTAGAGTGTAACAATTCATTTTGTTGCTTGTCTAGATGAACTGTTGGCCAGTGGAGAAGCGGAAACCTTTGACTTTGCTTTCATTGATGCAGATAAAGAAAGCTACAATGAGTACTATGAAAAATGTTTACGCCTCATAAAGAAAGGGGGAATAATAGCTATTGATAATGTAAGTACTGCAGTTGTAGTGGTAGTAGCACAGAGTTACTGCTTTTGCCTCTGGGAAAGGAAAAAAACAAAGTCACAGTGGGATTCTAGTAACGTGATTTCTGACCTGCAACTCAGTTGCCAATTGCAACGTGTCTGTTCCATGTTATACAAAGGAGGCTTTTAAAATTCAACAGAAATTCATCAAGTAAGCTATGGAAGGAATACTAACATAAGCAAGGAGTAAAACCCTATAGAAGTAAGAAGTAATGTGTTAAATTAATGTTAGTACATAAACACCCTGTGATAACAGAAACTTACCAGTTTTTTTGTAATTCATTACAGAGAACGCTCTGTATTATTCTGATTTGTCTTGTAGCGCATTTTCTACTATGTACAGTACATACACAAGATTAAAGGCAGCACTTGTAATCAGTAACTCCTAATAAGTTATGAATTAATAACTTTTACCAGAAACAAAGAACGATGTTAAACTTCAGGCACCTTCAGGGTTATGGTGGCAGATGAATTGGGGCTTTTAAAAATACCTGTGTTAAATCACCTTTTTTTTCTCTCCTAATTTGCAGTAGAAGTGTAATCAGCCAATTCTGTTGACTCTCAATCCCACCTGTTTATGAGAGCTCCATGTCAAAGACCATTAGAAATCTGAAATACAATAAATAATACCAATTTCTAGAAAATATGCAGGACCTTTTCCAAAGCTTCATTTGTGGTCCAAGGAACATATTGGAACAAATGAGATGCATGACATTTCTTTTTTCAATAGGTCCTTTGGAATGGAAGGGTGCTAAAACCAAGAAAGGATGACTTGGCAACCCAGAGCATCCACCACCTCAATGAGAAGCTTCACAGAGATGCACGAGTCAATATCAGCATGCTTCCAATGGGGGATGGAGTTACATTAGCATTCAAGTTGTAACTGGAAGAAGCCCAGCAGATGGGAAACAACAAGCAGCATAAAATCATCAGGAAAAATGCGGGCAGAGCAATATCAAAAATGGTTATTGGATAGCATAGCCTGGGAAAGTAGACTTTAGGAGCAGCAGGATCCTAAGGGCAGCTAAGTTGAGAAGAGAGACTTATTGTGAGATCTACTATGGTTTCTTATTTTAATTGTAATAAAGCAAGTGAACTTACCTGAAGTTGTCCTTGTAAGACAGTGGTTGAAAACATCTCCCTCTATAGAATAACTGAGTTCCAAGTGAGTCAGTTCAACAGAGTCATTTTTTGTCCTAAAAGAGGCTGCTGAGTTGCAGAATAAAGGAGTGGAGTTTACTAATGTTAAAAGCCATAATAGAAAAGTAGATTTTTAATGAAAAGTACATGACATCAAGGAGATTGCTAGCTTCCTCGGGCTAATGATATTGAAAGTCACGAGTAATCCTTGAAGGGTCCTACATAAGAAGGCTCAAATACACACCATGTGGAAAAAACAAAAACAAAACGGTTGTATGTAAAAGCATGTCAAAAGACAAATGGAATTTCCCACACGGAGCACTTCCCTAAAATCTTTGCATGCAAGGACTGGATTTCTTTAACCTAGGTAATAGTGCAGGTAGGTTTGTTTTTTGGGGTTTTTTTAAGTCAGAATGAGGAAGAGCAAATGGGTAAGGAGAAAACCAAAACAATGATTCCTCCTTATTCTCTCCCTCCCACCTGCCCGACAAAGAAGCAACTTGCTAGGTGCTTGTTCCCTAGAAAGTTGCAAGGACAGAGTGTTGGTGGCAAGTCTACAGAAGGAAAATGATGACTGTATGGGGATGCAATACAGCTGTTAACTGGGTATTCAAATAATTACTGCAAGCAGAGATTCCCTTCCCTAGGCAGCATGTAAGAAAATGATGCTTTTTCAACACCCTTGTAAAGTATTTTTCCTGCAGTATTCTTAACTCCTAGTTAGCTTCATTTGGTGTTGTCATCCATTACTCTTGTTTCATTCAGATGTATTCTATAAAATTCTTGATCAAGAAACAGTAGTTGAAAAAGCTCACCTTACCTAGGATGAATTAAAGGGACAAGGGGGCAGGAGGCATATTCTGTTCAAGCTAGAGGATAAGAATATAGCTAATTACTTGTGGTGGGTTGACCCTGGCTAGAGG